CTTTAGTTCATTCATGACAATCTTCTCTAGTTTTGGCAAATACACAGTTCGTACGGATAATATCTTCAGTTCGTACTGGGACGATCTTCTCTGGTTTGTCCTCTAATGTTATTCATACAGATAATATTTTTCAATCGTACCAAGACGATGGGCTCTGTTGTGTTTTCGTCCAGACATTCGTATATACGTGCTTTAAAAATTTCTGTTCATAATGGACGAACATATTTCGTATAGACGATGATCGAGTATGAATATAATTCGTACCAATTCACAATGAGTTCGTACGCAACAGTTTTTGAACTGTTCGTACGTACAAAATTTGATCGTACGGGACGATCGTGGACGATTAAATTTAAAAAAATGCAATTTTCTAGACTATTTTTTGCGTCTTTTCTATATAAAGTCCACTTAAGACTATCATTTAATCTTTTTGTCACTTGGCCTTCATGAATGGTAAAGGGAAACTGAAGAAAAGAGTAAGAGAGATTGTTTGAAAGAAATTTCTTCATATTAGAGTACGAAGGGTTCACTTGGTTACTCAAGGGTAAGGATCTTTGTGTGTACTTTGTGTTTATTTCACTCTTTTCTCTTGTCCTTCTATATTTCTAGTGTGAAAATCTTTCAAGAAGATTCGGTTCTCTACCGACACTCGAGAAGTGTGAATAGTCGAAGGTTCTCTGCCTACACTAAGAGAGTGTGAAAGGACGAAGCTTCTCTACCTATAATTGGAGAGTGTAAACAACAGACGATTCTTTGTCGACACTTAGAGGGTGTAAAAGGATGACAGTACTCTGCCGCATCGGATAGTGGTGGAAGAGAGTTTTGTGAAGGCTTCTCTACATTGTTGTTGGGGCAAAAAGAGAGACACTAGTGGTAATAGTGCAATACCTAAAGTGGGAGACTTTCATGGAGTGGATGTAAGTCGTGTTTGACCAAACCACTATAAATATTTATGTCTTTTTATTTTCGGTGCTTTAATTTCTGTCCTTTTATTTTTTTATGGTTGAAAAATTATTTTTGATAATTCTAAAAACAACCTACTCAGTTTATTATAACGATTTAAAAATTTTAAATTCCAATAAATGGTAAATTTTTTAAAAGTACTAATTCATCCCCCCTCTTGGTTAGCATTTGAGACATAAGCTTAGGTCTAACAACCTAACTCATATTCAATAAGTTTTAAGAATTGGTATCAGAGCTTTGTTTCAAAATCATAAGTTTAGACTACTTTTTGATTAATGACCATAGCTACATTTGGAAATTGGAACACACGAGAATGTTACTCTATAACTAGACATCCCTTGTTTGACAATATTCCTTTTGATTTTTGAAAAACACGCATATCAATATATTTACAGTCACTATACTATCGTACGTGGGTCTTAGTTCAAGAAGGGTATATAAAACCAACTAGATTAATTGACGGAATTAGAGTTGAAATTCCCTTTACAGACAGGATTGTAAAATAATGTGAACTAGCAAAACTTAATGTTAAATGTTTGAACAGTTTCTTTTATGCACTTAAATCTGAAGATTATATGTAGGTTTTCACTTGCAAAAGTAGAAAGGACATATGAGATAGACTTTGTATAACCTATGAAGGGACTAACGAAGTTAAATAATCCAGACTTAATATCTTGTTCCATAACTATTAATTATTTTGTATGAAATCCAATGAATCTATTTCTTACATGTATACAAGATTCACACAAATAGTCACCTCTTTATATGCATTGAGTAGAGAACTAACGAATGTTGAAATAGTTAATAAGATACTTCGTTGTTTGCTTATTATATATGATGCTGAGATAATTGCAATTAGAGAGTCTAAAGACCTAATATACTCTATTAATAATCTTCTTGGATCACTAATTGCTTACAAGCAAGGAGTGAGTCATTGAAAGATTGATGCAGGAGAGCCATGAAAGGAGAAGAACATTGCACTGAAGGTGGAGGAGTCAGAGAGTGATCTATCAGTACCTGATGATGACATTGCCTTAATGACTAGGCAATTTAGAAGCTTTCTAAAGAGGAAGTAGAAGAGATGCCAATATTGGAATAGAGGTAGGTTTAATAAGAATATTGAGATTTCTAATGATGTGATTTGCTATGAGTGTAGGAAACCTAGATATGTGAAGTCGGAGTGCCAAAAACTCAAAGCCACTCCTAGCAAGGAGAAGGTAGAGGAGAAACCAATTGTGAAGAAGGGCAAGAAAAAATTCCAAAGAGCTTTCTAGGTGGACTCAGCTTCGGACTCGTTAGAGACTAAAAAGGAAGAGGAAGTCACCAACCTGTGATTAATGGGTGATAATCTTAATCTATCAGATCAAGAAGAGGTATGTGACTTAACTTATGCTGAACTCTTTGAAGTTTCTAAAAGAATACATGATGCATATAGGAAGCTAAAGAAAATGCATGCTAGTCTTAACCTAGAACTACAAGAATTGCAAAAAGAATATGATATCCTTAGGAAAGATCATGCATTAATTGATAGCAACCACATGAGCTTACTTGATGAATTCGATAACTTAAATAAGGAGAATAATATGTTAAAATCATCCTATGCAGAACTGGAAAAAAAATTAAGAAATTTAAGGAAGATTCTGAGAGTAGAGAGCATTACTTGAATTTTGATAAGCATGTCCTAGAAGATTTGAACATTTATTT